CTAAGTTTATGAATAAAAGAAGGCAGTGTTGGAAATAACTCCATTCACATGCTAATGCTAAACTATACGTATACAGTATCTAAATTTAAAATTATGTTTATTGAAGTAACGCTTTTATTGTATATTCTTTAGTAATTAAATTAAAGGAAATATATAGCAACCCCTGTCCTATATAACATATCATTTTATCTTAGTTAAATGAAATTATCGATGTTCTAAACTATAATGGGTAATATCTTATATAATTGTAAACAAAAAGCCCCTGAAACTAAAGAAATGTGCTTGCGTTGAAAAATATTACTAATTGAAGACTATTAAAATATTCAAACACATTTTCTCTGATAAACTGCCTACTTAAAAGTACTTTGTATCAGGTTAACTCATTCGCTTTGCTTTGAACTGGTGGTTCGGTAATTGAATTCTCAATTCAAATCCACATAAAGCTTTGAAACTCTATAAACACCATGAGTGCAGCGTGATTATTTTTCATTAAAGAAATTCTAAAATGCTTAAAACCATTTTTCTACAACAAATTGTCCACACTGGCAATGATCGTCTCTACGTGTTATTTTGGCGATGGCGTTGGTGCGAACTTTCTCGCTCAATATTTCTTAATCAACAGGAGCACAAGACGTTGACTAAATGTGGATTTATTCCACCACTAGATTGTGACAGGAAAACAAATACTTGTACTGATGTAAAGCATGGCAACATAGCTTCCCCCTTTTTACATACCTCGTGCTATTCTTGTGGGACATATTCAAATCAAAATACTATTTTCAGCGTTTTAATTATGGTAAATTTATATTTAGTTAGGAATTCTAACAATAGATTGATCGTGATTATAAATCATGCCGCACATATAATTGATTGTTTAGTTCAATGTATCAGGCGTATTTTCGTAAAGTTCTTTTGAGATACATTAGATTGAAATCTTGAAATGTCTCCGAGCAGGATCATTAATATTAATGCTCATATTTCATGGACTGAATGTTGTTGTACAATAAATGAAATGTCAAAGCGGCATGTTGTATTATATAAGTGTCATATCAATATTATATTTTTAAAACGTTCCAGAAAATTTGGACAAACTAGCTTACAAGGCTGTGCATGTGACATTTGTAACATTCTGTTAATAATTAATTTTAGTTGAAAAAAATATATGATACAAAATGATATTCTTTGCAAAGTCCAAGACTAGCAAAATACAGTCTTGAAACCGATAAAAATTGTTGATTTGATACCAATATTGACAATCATTTTTGATATTCTTCCTTTAAGAGATTTGTCTACTAGTATGTGGAAAATATTTTGTATTTTCCTATTATAAATCAATAGCCAATAAAGCATGTATTATATAATTTCATCGAATGAACTATACATTACATGCAGCTAGTAACTTTAGATTTATAATTGATAATTAATTTTACGAGTAGTTAAAGACTTTGGTTAATGGATATAATAAATTAATATGGTAATATTTACTTGTAGAAGCTAAATACATCACTTAATATCTCCTCAAGACGATATAATCAGAGACCAATCTTACACATAACAGCTAGTTGTCAATAATTTTACCCCAGAGTTCAGCTGCTTATGTCGCTAATAAATGAAATTAAGAAATCTTGGCGTTCCCTGACATCTGATCAAAGTAGCGCCAGGAATGCGTAACGTTCTACATCCATTTCTGGCCAATTAGATAAAGCAACGTCTACCCAATTAGATCATACTTGGGCAATTAGAGCTAATACACTCAATTATTTAACGATTAATTTATGAGCCCGAAGAAAGCTTGTCCATTTTTATGGCAAATAAATTTGTCAGAAGTCGATGCGCTTTTGTCTTTATTTTCCGGAATAGATGCGAGCAACGACATGCTTCGGAAAGGAGACGTGCGGCAAAATTTCCGGCCTATTAACATGTCGGAATTTTATTGTCATTGAACATTTTTCATTAAGTGTGGTGTGGTTACATTTTAATTAAACCAATTTAGATATCAGACACTTTTGTTCGTTTAAGAAACAAAATGTGAAACTGTATGTAACCAAAATATTTCAAACAGCTTCTGTTAAATCAACAACCGTCCTGTTGAGAAAGAAATATGTCTAAATATTTTTCTTTTATTTCTTTAACATTTTACATGTGAAATATATATTCCGTAAATGTTATATTTGTATTATTTAATATTTTGAGATGGTTGCTCATTCGTGCCAAACCTCCAATTTTGATGGAGCCGACTTCATATGTGTGTGTGTTATCCTAGATATAATAACATGACATAATACCTCGATCTTTATTGTTAAATTCTAAATAGTAGTTTTTTTAATATTTATCCTTTTATCTTTCTATGATAATTTTATCAGGCTGGTAATGTGAATGATTCAAACATTTTCTTCATAGAGCTTTTTCTTTCTCTTCTTTCCTCTATCTTTTTATTTGTTTATTTTTTTTCTCTTTATTTCAACACCATGTCCCAACTGTAATACAATCACTTATTACATTGTATACTCTTTTATCACTGCCATTGTGCTTTGAGTTTAGTAAAAATTATATTGTTATTGTTGTCAAAAACAGTATCAAAAATGAAAGCAACATATATTCTTTTAAAATCTGGCATTGTCAACGAAAGCCCGCATCCTATACTAACATTATATTACAAAACGCCAAGTTTGCCATACTTTAACAAGATCTTTACATGATAAACACATAATATAGAACTCTATCGCTTTCTCTTATTCTGCCACACCGATAAATCATACCATATCATTCGTTAGAGATCTGCAATTATAACACCAGTGGAAACACGTCTAAACTCATTGAGATTTATAATAGAAATGTAGGATCTTTTATAAAAGCATATGAGTGGATTCTGGGATAAACATATTAGCTACTGATTAGCTCCTGTTTGATCGATGAAAAATGCTTTGAGAAAAAATTAACTTCTTTTCTTCTATGTTGAAAGAAGTGCTTTAAAGTGATTGAACGTGTCCCATTCTGATAATGTGAAACAGTATGAATGGATAAAAATGTTATGATCCTTTTCAACAAAATTAAAAATGTGTTCATAAAAAATGTATTAGGACCAGCTATCTCTTATCAAGTATCATATTAAGTTAACATTGCTAAAACTTTAATGTTAAATAAATTAATAAATAAATAAATCTCGATAACTATGCAAATAGAGGTTTTGTATAAGGGTCTGTAGAATCAAGTAAATTTGATGACATTACACCCATAATTTCAGAAAACCTGAAACTCTGAACTTAGCATTATTCAATCGGTTTTATGTGGAAAATAAGTTCGTTCATGTGTATAAAAACCTGGACTTCTGTCAAATACCTGAAAACGTGTACCCATGGTTGTGGCTCTGTTTTATAAGGATTGATATGCATTGCTTACAACAGGGTGTGTAGCTCTTGGTATAACTGTTTAGCATGATTTGTTGGATCCATTTTATTTAAATGCTAACTTCAAAATAACAGAGAATACTTCAAACTCGAGTTTCAAGATACCAATCTATTGTTACATTACGCGAGCTCATTCTTTTCTCTTTTAAATTCATTATCTTTTAAAAGTCTGAAACGTTTCCGCGTTAAGTCAGCCTTTTCGCTATTTGAGCGACGATGTTTACATATATCGCCTCGAGACAAATTTCTATCTGTTCGTTCTCATTTTTCTTTCGTGTGCTGGGAATTTCGTACACTGCGCATGAATATTTAAAATGTGTTTTCCCAGGGTAGTGTTTAACATTGCGCTAAACATTTCTATCTATCAAATACTCGTTTGTTGATGCCTTAACTATGGTAAGAACAAAACGCATAACAATAAGTCGTTTAAGTAAATAAAAACTTTAAAGGAAACTTTAGAAAAGTGATATTGATTGATGATTATTATCTTTCAGAGAACGATTTAGAACTTCAATAGTGAATTCCGATGCATTCTTGTGCTCCTTGGACTTTGAAATTGACTCTATATTGATAGGCGTTTATCTTATAAATAACGCAACTTAGAACTATTTAGTTCAAAACAATGTAAGAAACACACTAATCATACAAACAATGCCACCTGTGAAACCTGTGTTAGTACTATTGTTAACATTTAACATCTCAGTATTTTATATCTTAAAATAAACTTATAGAAATAATTAATTTGTCAAGAATAGGCGATCTGACGAAGTAGAATACACTGGAAATTCCATTTTAAAGCATTTTAACTACAACATGACAAAATGACAATCGTAAAGCATAAAGTTATAGTATTTGTTATATTATTGAAGGGTTAGACATGAGTGAGTGTTACAGAACAAAAAATCCGTTCATTTAAAGCAACACGGCTCAAGATTCATGCTAAATTTCATGAAAATCTCGACAATGAATTTAAAAAAAGAAGATTGTAGGGGAACAAGGACAATAATTTACAAATTGCAAACGGCACTTAAATTCTTCTAAAATTCAGAAAAGAGGTCAAAATATGCAAAAATAGCCCTTAGTGCGTTAGTCATGCAGTAGAAATATGTTGATAAATACTGCAAAATCAGTCATTTATTACATATAACATGTAAATTATTTAAATCTTGAATCATTTTACTTTTCTTATAATCTTAATGTATTTTTATCAACTTTTTTAATATTTTGGCTCATCTGGAGGCATGCAGCTTTAAAAATGTTGCAAAAAAACTAATTTCATGGTGATTATGTCAAAATCGAAAAAAATTCGATGACCAAACTACAATATTTAGTGGTCTAAATGCAATAACAATCCTACAAAAACTATCAGTAATTCAAACAGCCGGTAAGGTCAGAAAAGACGTCACAAGCAGTATGCTAAATACTTCCTACTAAACAACAGAAGATATTGCGAAAAAGAAAAGAAATAAAGTGGTAAATTTGGACCAAGTTATGTGTACCTTTTGTGAACAATATGACTGGGATATGAAACACTGAAGCAGTACATACATGTAGTAGATATTAATTGAGAGAGAAGACTGTTATATAAGAGTATTACCTGTCTATGATGACTGGATCTGAGGGGGTCTCGTTTCTATTTCCACAACTTTTCTTATCACAACATCGGCTGTAACAAAAATACAGAATAACAGTGAAATACATAATATAAAATAGAACTGGAGTTATGCTTTACTTTTAAGCAGTTAAGGTAAGGAAAACATAATGAAATTTAATAGAAGACTTGGTAGATGTGTGAACAGAAGTCTGTCTGAAAATGCTTGATGTCGTTATTTAATCATAATCAAACAACAGATTTATACAGGATAATATTAGTTAATATTACAAATCAAGAAAGTGTTAGAATTTATATCTATCACGGTACAGGCTTATTGTCAATAAACACTGAAACAAAAATATACTGTAATGAACTGATATATTTTTGCTTAACAGTAAGAATTTCAAGTGACACGTGAATACGGTACTAAATAATTCTGATGAACAAAACCAAACTAGAAATATCATCTTTATTTAGCCATGATTATGAACAGAGTGAAGCTCAAAAACCGATGAATATTGGCCTAGACGGCAGACAGACAGACAGACAGACAGACAGAGGTACGGACAAAACGGCGGCTACAAGTATATATATCCTTCATGCGAGCGGCATGAAAATATATACGTTAATTCTGAACTAAACTAAAAAGATACTTAGCCAATGATTGAAGAGGCAATCTTCCTTTAGAAGATATACTTGCATAATTCCAGCATATAAATTACCAAACTCTGCCAATGATTATCATATCTAATGACTTTTTCAATTAACGTAATGAGCAAGGTGTATAATTAGTCGTATCCGGTAATTAGCCACAAGCGGTAAACGATACATGCCATATCATCATTGATGTCAAAACAATACCGGTGTCACACGGCACATCTGCTTCCCTATTTCCTTACTGTGATCAAAATGTACTGTATTTCAGTAGAATAGTGCATTTCATGTACAATATTGTCTGAGACCCGTTTCTATTGAAATACATATATGAATATCTTATCAATGTTTATCCGATAGGCCTTTTATTATTTTATAGTTTTTTATATTCATGGATGATGATGATGATTTTGATGATAATGATGAAGAAGAAGAAGAAGAAGAAGATGATGATGATGCTGATGCTGCTGCTGTTGCTGATGATGATGATGATGATGCTGATGATGATGGATTGGTGGTAATGATGATGACTGTTATTGTAATGTACGAAATAACAAGATTTTATGAGATAACAAGAATGTCAAGAAAATAAATAAACACCATACACACCAAACAATAAAGTAAAATAGTAAGTGTATATTTACCTGCACATGACTTCGTGTGTGAGTAGTACCCGGCACATTTCTGGATTTTTGTCCTGACCTTCGTAAACAATGGGCTAAAAAATCACAAAACGTTATATTAAATCAATATGTACGTATTAATATTTCATATGTTAACTAAAACTGATGTATAAATGAACATGTTTTATAAAATAGTAATGAATATTGTCTCTTCTATTCTGGCATTCATTTACTTTATATATAATTATCTTTTTTATAAAAAGTACAGAATAAAATGAATAATATTTACACTCGAAATCTGTAACCTTTGTCTTAAGTAATTGAAAGAAAGTAAGTCATATTTTTAACAGAAGCAGCAGTAGACTAGGAAATAGGCTGTCCTATTTTGAAGCATCATTATTTTCTAGAAAATGTTCGTGAGGACATTTGTCGGTGTATTGGAAGTAGGGTCAAATACGTTAATCAGAGTGTTAAAGGTTTAACCCTTGTGTCCCGGATAAAACATGATTAACTCAGTACTGAATACGGCAACTCTAACGTGATTAATTCTTGAACGGGTTTTCCGAGACACCGTCTTATTGATTTTCAATATTCCCGAATTATCACCGCGAAAATCTGGCCATTCAACCGTCGAGGAAATACTTAAACCTATGCTTAAACGACCTTTAATACTATAATGTCCGCAAATAATGGTAACATTCTGATTAAATGGTCATATCTCGAAGTTTTGCACTCTATGTAAACATTTATGAAATATGAGAATACACTTTCAAACGGCTGGTCAGCGTTTCACGGTTTTTGTCACCGATCTTTGTGGCCATTGCTTTGTTCACAAACACAACATATTTTGTATCCAAATTAGCATCTTATCTTTTAACTTAAAATTGAGTACAATATTCTTGTGTTTTTTCTTTAAAGTTCATTTTTCATATTTCTTTCTTCGAGCAGTCGCCTTGTCAATAATTGAATTAAAACTTTCTGCAATATTACGTGACCTTTCTTATTAGATCATTATCAAATAATTTTTGTTCGTTTCTTTAAATTGTTAAAATGGTGGAAAAAAAATCTCGCGTGTTAGAATTCTATATGGTTTGCAAATGGTAAGAGATATTGTTCTAACTTTGTAATAACTTGAAACAAAATAATTTGCATTTTTACGATTGCGACACACGCTCATGTCGGGGATGCCATATGGCCATGCGATGAACGCAGGCCGAGTCCATGTTACACATACTTTTATCTGTTTCTGTTATTTCACTTAATTAGATAAAATGTAAATTAATGAATTAAAAGGATACCTGTTCAAGTTATTAGAAAATGATATAAAGACCATTTGATTCTCTATGAAGAAATTGTTCTATTTTACAGGACTAAGAAACCTTAATCAGACTGCTCATTCATTATTATAACATACAATATATCTAAACGTACTTCATATGTTTATAATAAAAAGGGCTAGATTGGTGTTTATAACCGAGGTTTTGCAATAAATGTAAAGCATCTGCACGCATCCCTCCTAACACTTAACACAAAAATTACCACTCGAAATTATACTCTAAGATTAATAATTAGAACAAATATAAAAAGTAAATTTTATTCATCTGAAACTGTACTGCATGCACCATTTGTTAGAAAAGAAAAAAAAACATTATAGTTAATCCGGTACATGATATATTTATAAAAAAAAAATGTTGAAGACTTCTTTCATAAAAAAAGACTTGAAACTGATTCTAAGTTAGATTACACTATTGTTTTAAGACGTCTCTCAATCAGTATATGTGTATATGTTCGAGTCATACATCAGGTAAGTATCACAGCTCTTAATCCATAAATAGGGAAACAGGACTGGTAATGTTCAGCTATTTCCCACGTAGCAATTTGGATTTGTCAATAAAATGAATGTGAAATAAAAAAGGAACTCACTGTTTTTGTGACGGAGTCGATGAGACGTATATACAAATCTTGTTCCTGCCGGACCCCTGAAAATAACAAATAAATCATTCATAGCATGGTGATATTTATCATGTAGCAATATATTTGCTGCTAATTTAATGTGTGAACAAATTTACACAAATACCCAGTCCAAATAGAAACGACCGGTCTTACTTTTTTCACTTTGCCAAAATAAACCAGATGAATATGTGAAAAAACTCTTTATTTATTGTATATATTGTACTATATCCATCAAATTATTTCTACATTTTACCCTGAAATATATTATTACATTTCACCTACATTTTACCCATTAATAATATTAATAATATTTCTGCATTTTACCCATTAATAATATATTTCTACATTTTACCCATTAATATATTCCCGTTAATAATATATTTCTACATTTTACCCATTAATATATTCCCGTTAATAATATATTTCTACATTTTACCCATTAATAATATATTTCTACATTTTACTACCATTTTACCCATTAATAATATATTTGTACATATTACCAATTGATAACATATTCCTATATTTACCTACATTTTACCCATTAGTATGCTCCTACATATTTTCGAAAATGTAATTTAGATATAAGTAGAGGTATAAATGTTTTATTCTGTAGCTATACTATCCAAAATGAGAAATTCACATGTTTCATTGAACTATCCACTAAGCAATTTATAATTTATACTTATTCTAAACATTACATTTTAATGTTATATTTATATCATAATATTATATGTTTATCAAAGTCTTTTCAAATATATTAATGCCATGACCAAAACTTGTATAATAAAGAACATTATTACTGCTGACCTTTGAGATACTAAATATATCTAGCGGTCAAACTTAGGATAATGTTTAAGGGAATTATCAAGATAAACATTAACATAAAGACGCCTCTGTTCATTTGAAAAAGAGGGAAATGCCTAAATTGGTTATATAATACCTCCTTATGAAGTGTTAGCCCATGTAGTGAGTTACACTCACATTACAATAAACTTTCTATGATGTTAGTTTAATTCTGACAGAGATTGTTTATACCCCCACCCCCTACAGCTCACACCTGTTTAGTCAAGGTCCAATTTTTTTTCAAATGTTCAGCTTAAAGAAAAAGAAAATTTATATTCGATTGACCTAAACTGTACATAGTTTGTTGTTCAAACATAAACATATATGTACATACATAAGTTACAATAAATTATCATATACTTTATAAATGTTCAGATCGGCTTGATAGTCAACAAATCTTAGAATGCTTGCACATATGTAGTAAGCATTTTCATGAGGGTTAAAGATTTCGTCACTTTTACATCATAAGACAATACTAATGTATGCCACAAAGGCAAATGTTTCATTGACACATCTTTTAGGAAATGACAAATCTACACAGAAAGCATTTCTTTGATTGTTATAATAAAATAAATTGATACTAAAGAATGACTGAAATTCTTCACGGAACTCGGTTCTATGACTTCGTATTCCAACAGGAATAAACTACATGAACATTTATTATGGAATTTATTTACTTCTTTGTTCTTTTTTTATCAATGAACCTCATATATTTTCGGTACATTTTAGTCGGTCATTTTTTTCTCTAATTTTACACAATTTTTATTCTAACATTGCGTTGTTTGCCTTTATTATAAGCTTCACTTTAATACCAAGAAGAAACTTTAAATTGTGGAGAGTTTTGAAGAAGATAAACATCGTCACTATCTTTGTTTGCAAATTGTTTCAACAATCTGGCTGAATGAAAGTCAGGAATAATTTAATCAAGTATTAAGATTAAAGAAGTCGGGCCGGACAGCGTCTTTTTAATGGCGTCGGGCGCGTATTGTTGCAATAAAATGACATCGATTTAGATTAAACACAGATAATACGGTGTTCACCGGGTGCTTAAAATCAAATGCACTAGATATCTAAATTGATCGAAATAGCGACCTATATTGTTTCCCTAAGTTTGATCAATTGAATTTTGTGGGTATAGGTTTCAGAATACTGAAATAATGTCTTACAATAAAATTCCACACAGAAAATATTAAAGGTAGTTAGAAAATGTTCAAGAGAAGAAAATAACGCGACAAACGTACAAAATAGAGATCACTTTTAAGGACTTTGATATATTGAAAATGTCAATAATTTCACAGCTGCATTGTTTCAGTGATGATACATATTTGAAGACAAAAAAAAAATATGTGTCACAAGAAAATACTGTATCTTTAATTTAAGAGGAAGTAAAGGAATATATATAAATTATATATTTAACAACGCCTTTATCATTACTATACAAATATTGATCTTTCACGATGACACTGTTTTCCGCTGACAGCATCATGTGACCTTTTAGATTAACCGTTCGTAATAAAATATTAATTTGCATATCCTATAAAAATTTGACGTTTTTATCGGCACTTTCAATACACTTTCCGAAGACAAGAGGTCTCGACTTGACTTCTAACACTTTGAGAACTGTTTCAGAAAATCCGCGGCAAAATCAATATCAGCGTTAATTGTCTTCAATTTAAGCATGCTTAATTCGATAGAAACTTTCATACCCCATATGTTATGCTTTTTGCTAATGTCTGTGAGCATTTTTCTGAATTGAGAATTCGTAATAGAGACGAGGTTATTGGAAGTAAAGTCAGGCTCAATACGAGATATGAATATACGCATTTTATGAAACGGAATATTTTGGGTCACATTTTATAATACGTTTATACGTTTATAAATACGACGTCCTACGTATTAGAACCTACGTAAATAGATTTTAGGATATTTACTCTATATCTAAAATTCAAAGTTAAGAACTCGTAATATTTTTGTTTGAATATTTACATTATTAATAATTCATGACAATTTCATTAACTGTAAAATAGTTTTTTCTTATCTAGAATATTAACAATTTATGGTAAGAAAAAAAGCTGGAGGAATTACTGAGACCCGTAATTTTATTTATTGTATTGTACATCGGTCACAAATCAAATAATACATGTAAATAATTTCGTGTTTTTTTTTATCATTAACAGTTTCTGTAGCAAGCTGGAGCCAGAATGGTATATACTTGTTTTACGTTGAATAAAACTATATAAGTCATTAATATTTTTAAAAAATGTTACGTCATATAATTTACTTTTGAAAAGAATAAAAAGAAACAAATTCAAATTAATTTTCTGTGATTGTTATTTTTACAAGATATGTTTATGACTGTTGAGTAATGTTGAACAAACATTTTATGACAATGTAACAGAAACCTCACCAGGTTTTATTCCTCTACATTAAAATGTTTAATGTCTAACACAAAAAGGTGGAAAATGATGAATTAATGTAAACACATAAAATGTACTTAACAACAGGTTGAAAAATTCATTAGAACCTTTCTATAAACCTTTACCGTACTGTTTTACAAGGGTCAATATTTGTATAAATCAAGTCGTGACTTTAGATTTGATTCGTTGTCGAAGCTGTAATCATTTCTTTTTCATTTTTAACGCTTAAATGATTTGATTGTTACTCATGTTTGCGGAAGCATTACGAGAGTAAACATGAATGCACGTGCTAAGTCCATAATAACACGATCTTTGACTATGCGCGTGCTCTGTGTAAACAAATGAAATGGAATTATGGGAAGGAAATGTAATACCGGGGTTATTTCCGGACAATAATTGCGATATAATTGTAGTCCTTGTCGGTAATTTTTCTCCGTTGAGTTGCTCTGTTTGTTGACATTAAAGAATAGGAAATACTGTTTTCACTATCAGGATGCATTAGGTTTGTTTAATTGTAATTAACTTAACTGTTTTAATCACAAATGCAGTCAGGTAAATATAACTCATAAAATCAATGTTGAATGAATTTATCACTTTTTTACATGCTACTTTGTAATTTATTTCAAAATCAAAGCAACGATAAAATAATTGCAAATATTTAGCGGCTGAACCTCACAGACTTAAAACCAGAAAAGTACTGTTGAAAACTAGTTTCTCCATAACTCGGAAACAATCAGAGCCGTATACAACAACAACAACAACAACAATAAGATATTAATAATTAAAACTTACCATTTGCATACAATAATTGTAATCTGTAGTGGATGCCATTGTTTGTTTTGAGAGTATCGGACTCCTGCAATAAAAACACAATGTATCAATACGCAGGAAAAAAAAACACACACTTGTTAATGTATCTTAATTTTAAACGGAATTTAAATTTTTACTGAGATTAATTCTTCTAAAACTTTAATGACAGTAGAGAAAATGGCTGCTAATAAGAGAAATTGAAAAAGTGAAAATGGATTCGTAACTTTTCTTGATTTTCAAGAGAAATAGCTGATTTATTTTTAAATTTTATTAGGCGGAATATAAAACTAGTGTGATTATTTAGCTGAATGAAGTGACCGGACTTCCCATGGAGAATTGCTGTACAGGTTGATAGACACCAGATTTGCTACATCAAATAATTACAGTGTAAGAACAACGAATCATTGATACATATCGATTAATTGATTAAATGTCGATAACGGCTTCATTACAGTACAATTGCATCATTGTGTCACGGTATCATGCCGGGTACCACCTGATTACCGGACCGGGTACAAGTTATATTTCATTAGAGAAACAGGTCTTTAACAGGTGTGGTTGCGGTGCGAACAGACGGCTTTCTAATTAGACGGCATTCAGTGAAAATAAGTTGTCTATTTGCTTACATTGTAGTCATGTAAATAAGCAATAAATTAAAGACATAAATAGACGGTGTTGATATACTTTTGACACCTGTTACACTCTCGAAATTAGGTGATACACAATCAAGAAATTTGCATTATTAGTAAATGAAGAAAACCTAATACACCAGTTATATTATTTGAACTACGATGAATTATCTAATTCGTATGTTTATGGTTTACGGGTGTCAAAGGTTTGTTAACGAAGATTATTCTAGAAATACGTTCTTAAATTATTATAGACTTTTATCATTATCAATCTTTGAATATAGTAACATTTTAACATTACTTATATGATAAAAATGTTTTAAATGATTTTCCTTTTATCAATAACCTTACAGTTTTAAAAAGACTTAATTGTTTTAACTTGGGGTTTCTTGTAGTTAATATAGTTTTAGTGCTCAGATATTAGTGAGAAACTTAGTCACTATAAGCTCGAGTAAAATTGTAATTAAGCCTACTCAAATAATAAATAAACAATGAACTTACAGTTTCTTTCTCCACAAAGTCTATGAAGGCCGTTCTCTCGATTTCTATAGGTTGTCCCTGTCTGTCGTACAGCGCAAGAACAAAATGAAAAAAGTTACTTTTCCGTAAATTGCTAGGTGGCTGTTTCTCAAAGTGTGCACGTGTTATTCCTACCCCAACACTGTAAAACATAAAGTATGAAATATTACTTTTGACGAATCTTATGACATTGAATATTATTATTTTAACGTATATAACTAATATAATTTTCACGTATATGAATATTATAATTTCAATGCGTAATATATACATGTATATTATCTATAAAACTGTGCGTAATATTTCACAAGTAATTCATATATATTTATGTAATATAGTTTCTAAATGCGACTTTTTATTTAATATCTAAAACACTGATATTGACAATGACTAAAGTAGTATAATATCTGTTTTATTATAATGTCTATCCATATTATAATATATCTTAACATGGAATGATGATATCCATTAATATGATTACAAAAAATAACAATTGTATTTTTTTGCGATTCCAGCGCTGCAAGAATTAAATTTTAATCCATGTGCTGTTGTACACAGGATGCCCGTGCATGCACGATCAATCGCATTGCAAACAAAATTAATTTGAAACAAGAAATGAATTGTTAAAATTCATAACTACTTAACATTAAAAACTGATGAAAATAATTTAGAAAAGTAGTATAACTTAAGTAGATGAGTGTTTTTTTCTGTGCTATCACCACATATAGATGTTAGAGTATATGTTAGATTTTTTATTTTTATGTAGGCAATGCTTTCTTATATTTTACCTTAATTATGATACCTCTATATGAAAAATCAATTTTAAGTTGATATACTTCGTATATTGAAAAAAGATATTTAAAATACTTAAATCTGCGTCTTTACAAAAAATAAAACGATTCAGACCTGTCCATAAGAAAATAGTATTATTTCTAACTGTATACTAGTATATGAAACCTGACATTCATTTCATATCGCTAAATAATTGTAGTTAAAAACTAAATAAAACAATGAGAAATTCTTCGTGAATGAGAAATGTATTACGAGACGAAATATAATAGGATTTCACAATGTTTACGTTTAAATGTTAAGAAATTATTCAGAAAGTCTGCATTCTAATGGATTATTAAATCCGCATCGTTAACGCTGCACGAGGAGTGTTATGAAGATGTTATCGCATATTTTGATTCATGCACCAGACTTCATACATTTCCATATCTATAAAGTTCATCAAGAAATTCAATTTGACCAGATTATACAGTTTTTTCATTGCGCGTAATTTTTCGAGCGTAAAAATACTTTGGAATATATGAAGAATATCAAAGTGTATTAAACAAGCATACATGTTCTTATTAATTATAGCTTAAAATCACATAAATAGAACGCTGTAAATCTTCCATTTTAACCTCTAGTAGAATAAAAAAAAATGTTCGAATGTTGTCCAATAACTTGACTTTTCTACAGACACATTGTATTCCGACATAATTTTGTTGATGTCAATTAATTGTCTTAAATATAAAACACGAAATAATTAAATATCCAACGTAATTCACCTTGAAATTATGTTTAATCGAACTCCCAACTTTGTTTTTCAAGACCAAAAATTATAAATATAGTCGACGGTTGAAAGACATATTAATATTTAAAAGCACACAACCTGTTTCGAGCTCAATTTAGAATTCTAGAATATTTTACAATGAGAACTCTACCTTTTCTATTTTATTTCCGCGGGAAAAGATCCGATTGGAAACCAAACGGGACTAATATGTGGTAATAACTCAAACTATGATTGAGTGAGTGATTTTGTTGTTTGACTGACATACTTCTGGTAACAGACGTGCAATTATACGTGCAGGTCGTATAGACTGACAACGGAAGTAATTTAAAACTTTCCCATATCCATCTTTCACTATAACATAATATACTTAAGGGAGTCCCTCTTTTGTGTTGGACGAGCGATCCTCATTAATTTTTGAAGGAGGATTATTCCCTGGTCCCCAAAATGAAACCAGAAACTAAAGATTCTAAATTATCTAGTATAGACGTTTGAAGAGAGCATTTATTACTACTGTTGGCTTATTGATAAATGCTGTATTGTAAATTCATTAGGGACTGATAGAAATATGAATTGAAGAAAATTAATACATGATTATATTTGAAATAAAATTTATGGCTTTGAGTTTTGATTTTCTCTGATTAATTTCATATTCTGACACAGCTGATTAATATATGATAAATATGAAAACGATATAGTCAAGGGAGCATTTACTATAATAAGAAAATAATAAATGCTCCCCTTGTTTTCGTCTTTTGGTATATACTTGATATTTTAATAAATATAAAAAACCACTCGCCTTCCTGCGCTTTGTTCAACCATTGTAGGTTGCATCCAGTTTCTAATGGTACCAAGTTGAGATGAAATTTCCTCCTTCATCGGGGAGACAGTTTTTTTCTATAACAAGCACTTGCAGCAATATGTCACTGATTGTTTTTCATACACATCTATTAACTATTTACGTTTCTCTGCGTTTATTGTTTCTCTTTGCGTATCTCATAGGTATTCCATGTAGAAAATTTTCAATCAACGTATCACGGAAAATGGAAAATTGTAATAAAGATGTCCGGAAGTGTGAAAAATATGAAAACACATGAAATATTGATAAACGCGGGAAATCTTTTACAATTCTTTACATATATCCCAAAAGACACTTAAAATTCTAGAACAAAACGTTTAATTTCCGGATGTTTTTCAAAAATCATCGCTTAGACACGAGCTCCCTTTAGTTCCCAGGAGCTGTAAAGGGTCAATTTGAAAGATGGTAGATCGGCGTAGTATTGGTCTCAAGCCGACAACTCTCGTGCACTGAAATGAAATCCCGGCGGAACGCCTTTTGTTGCTATTCAGTTCCGTTGGTAAGTAAGCAGTCCCCTTAGAGTTCCATGATCCTATGGGAGCCGAGACCTCCAGAAGGTGGGGTTATCTCTATCCAATCGGAATATCGAATTTCATTAGGTGCCAAAAAGTCAATCTTTAACCACGCCTATAACAGTCTGTGGCTACCGCTAGCGCGTTGCTAAGAATCGGTAATCGATTGGCCAATGAGAATAGAGTTTTCTTCTTAGAGCGATGCTGGAATTACCTCAGTGGGTAGTATCCCCTGAATCGGTTACCATCTGCGAAAGTAATTATACGAAAGTACCGTAAAGAATGTCGTGTAACAAAGAGAAACTATGAAACAAGTGTAGTTACTTGTATTTGGAATAATTGACAGAATATTTCTTTGATGTTCCGCATCTCATTCAAAGGTTCTAACGGTACTTTTCGGAGACTTTAGCCTAGAATAAAAGAAAAATAGTGGTTGAACCGTTATGAGATGTCAATAATTAATAGCCATGGAGCACGAAATACTATGATAAGCGACAGCTAAACAACGAACATTCTGTCTCAGCAACAGAAAGTCTGCGAATTTTTCTTTTATCGCGATAGCCGATATTTCTCTGTCAGTTTAATAAAATTTAACAACGTTTATCTCTTTGCATGCCATTTGCTAACTTCTGATTATGACTAATTAATGGAATTACTATTTTTAAGCTGTTGCTTAGATTCACGGATAATAATTAAAGGTATACGGTTTACAATATTACGGGACTGCAGCGTTAATGAAGACGTGGGTTTAACGTCTCAATTACGAACGCATTATTTTTTTTAAAACGAACACTTTTTTTATCTTACATTTATCTAAAACTCTAAACGCACGATTTTTTTTATGTATATCATTAAACTATCTTAAACTTATATGCATTCAAATGATAAAAATACACAAAATATCAGCTACTAGAACAGGACAATAAATCTAAAGTTTAAAATATAAAATTATCAGTAAAGTTTTACAATAAAAAATAAAATTTCGGAAACATAGAATAAATACGATTGAAGACGAAAAACTGTACATTTGTTCTAATATAGTAATAAAACATTTTGTCTTCAAAAAATCGACAAATGCTTCCTCAAAATTTAGAAATATTATTGTTAAGATATGAAAATCGTTCACAAAAAATATTCAACATCATTATTATGAATATTTCACTTTCATATTTAAGTAACTTTTACACCGAAATGGACAAAATATACTTCTGCTACATTTTTATTCGGGCATACTTGAAAAATCATCTTTAAAGGTGTTTGTGTATTTAATAGCCAATTAATCCCATTGTAGCGAAGTGTTGTAAAGTACTTGAGGGATACTTAAGTACCCCAAGAGAGTCCTCGGATAATTTGTCCCCTATTGAAACTTGTGAGACAACATTGATCTCCTCACACTCTGAGATAACGCGAGATTTCGCGAGAAATCAAGATCTAACCGTAGAGAGCGTCCGACCACTATTTTTTTAAAACAAGGTTATTTTTAAACAAGCATTCTTATAACCTCTTTAACATACTGTTAAAGATAAATGTAATAATATTGTAAAAAAATATATATCACATGTAAGAAAAGTACTTTTAAACTCATGGACATTTTTCTGTTGTTTTTATCCGCATCATAAAGTTACCAAGGAACTAGTAATAAATAAAGAAACACTATTTGTTTTATATATGTAATACATGTGTTGTAATGATGTAAATGGAACAGTAATTTTGATAAATAATACTAAGCCAAGTTCGTTCACCCAGGACAAAAAGTAACATAAATTTTCCGAGAGTGAGAAGGAAAACAAAATAGTAACGCTATATTGATACGTTGCTGAATAAATTATTTACAGTGCCCATTTAAATAATGTTTATTTTCAGTGGTATGTATGAGTGAATATACAAAAACATTTTCTAAATACGGCAACATAAAATATAAATTATGACTAATGTAACGGCTCTACGCCGTACATTATACAGCACACATAAAACACCTGTTTTACAAGTGTGCGTTGAAGCATAAAAGTAAAATTATTTTGTAAGTGATTAATTTCTACCATTAATTTTGCAAGAAAAAAGAACGCGCAAAAAACAAGCTTTAAAAGCAAAAAATACAGAATCCGACCACATCAAATTACATTGGACTTAGGCCATTGTTAATGTCTTTACATTAAGTTAACTGACTATAGCACCAATGTAAAAAATTAAATTACACAGTTTTTAAAAAAACGTTACTTTTAAAATAAGTTTTGAAAAATATTTTAAGAATAAATGTGATATTTCTGATATTTTCATTATTACAAATTTATATTTTTATATTTGTCCAGTCAGTGAAAACATATAAAATTTAATAAAGTGATATAGTCTCATATATGTAACACGGCCTTATAGAACATATCGTGTTATCATAGACACAGATAACAAAACATACATGTTACAACAACAACAACAACAACAACAATAAAGTCGTTTTTATATATTATTTTGTAATAACAACACTAAAGAATTAACCAGAAAGCCGTCTTTACAGGAACTATGAGTACATGCATATTTCTTACAATTACAAAATAAATATTTTCAAAAAATCATTATCAAAAATTGTAAATGGTTTTTAACCTTAAATATATTTGTTCTAAAATACAGCATATTATAGTTTTCTTAAATGTTTTTCTGTGTTTTCCTGCGAAATAAAGAAATTAATACACATGACAAACATTTCATAGCTTTCTATAATAATACTATTTTGTATGATTGTATTTCTATATTTATTTCTTTAAAGATATACTATGCTCATCTTTGAGTAATATTTCAATCACAGAAATGTATTAAAATGTATGAAATTCTGAGTAATAAGTCTAACTTGGATTAAAGAAGAATAAAACTATGTATGGGAGACTGGGTTCCCTATTATTGGACAAGTAAAGTTGATCTTTTCTTGAAAATACTGCCAATTTTTTTATTGACACTATATATTCATATTGTGACCACCTATAGTGTGTAGAATTTTAAACATAACATATCTAATTTGTGTGAAAGCCAAAACATGTTTATTTTATATTTACAATGAGACTTTGTGGCAATTATCAATATTTTCTTATATCAAATCTGAGCACGATATATCTTGAATACAAATGAACGAAAGAAAATCTTTATCATAACAAAATATAATACATTATGCTAAATTGACATATTTACACCGAAAAGGTCAAAGTGAGCAAAATGAACCTTATGTTCATTAACCCTGTTTATCAGAGAAGTGTCTCATTTTATCTCCGATACAGTTTCCCTAAAAACCTGCTATCCCTCATGGTCGTGTGCCGTTTATTTGTTGATAACTTTAACAATAGTAATTATGGCACATATTTGGCTCCGGTGACCGCCTCTGAAAAGATCCGAATGTTGTGCTATAATTAAAGGGCATTGTTGCTGCGGGAACGGGAGCTGGAAACTATTGTCACGACCACGCCCCATTTAGATTATGCCATAAGTGTTTCGTCTTTTGACCAGGTGTTATGTGCAATAAATGCACCGTTTTATGATGTCTGTCCGATAATAAGAACTATATAGAATAGAAGTATCGCTGAAAGAAACCAAATGGAGATTTTTGTACGGCTAAATTGAGTCTGATTAAAAGAAATGTTTGTGGGAAGAAAGGGTAGCTGTATAGGGGTAACATTATATAAATTATCTATAAAACTTCAATTTTGTATTTGTTTTTCACACAGAAGCCTTCTTTACCTGAAAATAGATTAACCGAAATATTTTTATTTAATTATAAACAGAAATAAATAAACAAAAACAATACTTATTGTAGTAAATATGTTATGTAGTATAACTTATTAATTGAAATTAAAATACTTTATTATCACACATAATATTCTAATTAAACAACAATGACTCAATGATTTTAAATAAACATTTCTTTCGTAGAAATCCTTCAAAAACATGCTTCACATCAATAAACTGTATTAATTTGTAGAAAAAGAGATTGATCAAAACATAGTGTTTTTGTTTTTTAAAAAAGTTTCAATGTTTTAAATATATCAGAAAAACACTCATTTAAATCCTTGGATACTGCATTCAGAACCTGACCTTTAAAAACACTTGTAAATGAGATGCTATGGATAAAGATAGCGCATAAGGAGTCTCAAACGACGGTCTCGCATAAATTGAAAGTGACCAGAGGTTGGTAATTTTATTACCGTCTATTTAGTTAATTGATTTTAACGGTCCATACGACGGTTACTTTGAGAGATGCAGTGCCGCGCCCAACCTTATGTTACTGTTTCATGGATCAAAGAACAATGCCGAATTATAATTACTAATTATACATAATTATGATTATGGACTTCTATAATCGACATGTTCATGACAAAGACTCAAAAGAACTTTCTGTAATAAAGAAACATGACCAGGCATGTTCTGGACAATAGTTACAGTCGTCATTATTCCAAACCTGAATCTGCTAGGCTCCGAACTGATAAAAAATTACAAGAAATTTTGATAAAAAGAATTTTTTTCAGTGTTTGACAATGAAAATGTAGTTAAGATGTATATAGCAGCGTTTTTGAGATCAAAGTTTCTTTATTCCAAATCATTGTGAATCTAATTTCAGTCTTATCCTATCGAAATAATACGACTGTCTGGGTTTTTGTTATTTCTTAATACCCGTGCAATTTTATTTTCCAGTTAATTTCTTTTGTAATGTTAGTTCTTCTCTCCATACAAGAAAATGTTCAAAGTTTGCATGATGGCGGGTAATGAATCAGTTTTAAAGATATATTTACTACAGCTCAAAATACATAAACACGAAAATAAAAAAATAAAAATAAAAAGAAATCAGCTCAGTTCGATAGAAAATCAGGTCAATTTTTATAAGAAGGAAGAAAGTTTAGTAACGAGTTAAAGCAGTAAAAAAAATGTGTGAGAATAAAACATTTTTTTTCGTATTTATTGAAGTATAATTCCTAACAAAAAAACAAAAAAAAAACAAAAGAAAAATAAACTAATAAACTAATGAACGAAATTAAAATAGAATGTTATAATGTTTGCTTTGTATACTGTGTACATACATGTATTGTAAACACAATAACATATGATGAAAAAGAATATATTTAATAGTTTTCATATAGACTTATAGAATATTATAACTAAAAATAAAATCAGGATTTGATCTAGTTTTTTTTAATTAACTAATCAATGAGAACGTCTACAGCTTTAATTGTTTCTGTTATCATATATTCTAAGACCATGCTTAATTAAAACTAAATTATATGAAACAGTTTTATCATTTTGCCTGTATGTCTATATGAAAACTGTATCAAATGTCCTTGAGT